CTGTCAAACTGTTCTATTGCCGACGGCCGCCGTGAAGGTGTACAACCCGAGTGGCGACTGCTTAACTGTTCGCGCTCTATTGGATTCAGGTTCAAAACGCTGTGTGGCCTCCACTCGGTTGGTGGGAAGACTAGGGCTCCCCTGGAGCTCTAAATCATGTCCAATGGTAGGTATTGGAGGTGCAGAGCCTCCTGCTCCTAGGGGACAAGCAAGGCTGGTGTTTGGTCCTGCAAGCGAACACCTCCACATCTTAGTTAAGGTAAATGTCCTCGATGATATTGTAGGCTTTCTCCCTAATGCCCGTATAAATGATAGCGCGGTTTGTTGTACGTCTGGCTTGAGACCGGCAGACCCTCAATGGTCCCAACCTGGGCCTATAGATTTGTTGCTGGGGGCCGACGTGCTGGGGTTCATCCTGTTAGGCGAGATACGAGCCCTACAGCCCGATGGCTTGTCAGCCGTGTCCACTGTATTTGGGCACAGTTTCTTTGGACCGGTTCTGTGGTCTCCACCGCATCAGGCAGCCGACCCGCTCCCTGTGGCGGGCGTGTCTCTTTCGGACGTCGTCCAGCGGTTCTGGGAAATTGAGGAGCCGCCACACGCGCCTCGAGTCAACCCTCTGGACCGTGAGTGCGAGTTGTTCTACCAGAACAATACCGGCCGCCGTGTCGACGGTCGCTTTGTCACCCGCTTACCCTTTCTTGACTCACGGCCTCCTTTGGGCCAATCTCGGACCATGGCCGAAAAGAGGTTGCTTTCTATGGAGCGCCGTATGCGTCGCGACACAGCCTTTCGCGACAAGTATGTCGAGTTCATGCGCGAATATCAAGAGCTGGGTCACATGTCACCTTCTCATTTCGACTGGCGATCACATGAACACTACTTCCTCCCCCACCACGCGGTTTTGAAGTCCCCTGGGAGTAAGATTCGGGTGGTTTTCGACGGCTCCGCCCCCTCGTCCAATGGGGTGTCCCTGAACCAGTGTCTCCACTCTGGTCCTAAATTGATCAAGGACATATCCGACATTTTGACCCACTTCCGTCGGCATCAAGTTGTTTTTGTAGCCGACATTCGGATGATGTTTCGACAATCAGTGGTCCACCGTGATGACCGTCGATATCAGCTGATCCTGTGGCGCGAGAAGCCCAGCGATCCGATACAAGTGTTCGAGTTGAACACCACCACCTATGGACTCCGATCCAGCCCGTATGTCGCTATGCGAACCCTCCTCGAACTCGCTGAGAGAGAGCGCCTAAGATACGCTCGGGGGGCTTCTATTTTGGAGACCTCGGTCTACATGGACGATATTTGTACGGGTGCCTCCACCGTCGAGGAGGCTCTCGTATTGCGAGACGAATTGATTGCCATCCTGAAGTCGGGAGGTTATGAGCTGCGCAAATGGTTGTCGAACTCCCCTCATATTTTGAAGGACCTCCCTGGAGAGGATCAACAAGACCCTCATCTATTCGAGCACCCTGACAATCCTAATTTGTTGACTGTGCTTGGCATTCAATATCAGCCTGTTCAGGATACCTTCACGTATCGAGTCAAGCTCGATCCCCCCCCCTAAATCATGGACCAAGCGCTCTGTGTTGTCAACTGTAGCTCGCACCTTCGATCCTAATGGTTGGATTACTCCGGTCATCTTTTTGGCTAAGTGTTTCCTTCAAAAACTCTGGATATCTGGGTTGGGCTGGGACGATCCTATAAGCGGTGCTCTCTTGCGAGAGTGGCTCTCAATTGTGTCCTCCCTTCCAGACATCGACCGGGTCTCCATGTCAAGGTGCTTCCTCCCTCCAGGGAAATGCAGGGTTACCCTGCACGGATTTTGCGACGCCTCTGAGAAGGGTTATGCTGCTGTTGTATATTTGCGGACGGTAAGCTCTTCTGGCCATACTTCCGTCCATCTCGTACTTGCTAAAAGCAAAGTGGCTCCCATTAGGTCCCGCTTAACTATTCCTAAGTTGGAACTGTCTGGAGCTGCTCTTCTCACGCGACTGCTCAACCACGTTCACTCCTCCTTGAAGTCGGTAATCGACATTACGGACGTCTACGCTTGGTCGGACAGTGAGATAGTACTTTGTTGGCTCCGAGCGGCACCTCACAATCTTGAGGTCTTCGTGTCGAATCGCGTGTCCCAAATCCAGAATTCTGCCACTTGTCTAACGTGGAGACATGTCCCAGGGGAGTTGAATCCAGCAGACTGTGCTTCTCGTGGCTGTGAAGCCTCCTACTTGGTTGATCACCCGCTGTGGTGGGGGCCCGGCTGGTTAACTGAGTCCCAGGCGTTCTGGCCCCAGAACAAATACTCTGAACCAATTGAATTGCCTGGCCTACGAGCCCGAGTAGGAGTGGTCAAGGATAAGCCCACTCGTGATCTCTCCTTACTAGAACGGTACAGCTCTCTCGACAAGCTCTTGGGAGTAACTGCTTGGTTGTCAACTCGAGAGACCCATCTAACCGAATATCTGATTCCGCCTTGTCCCCTAGCGAGCGGCGCGAAGCCTTGATGCATTGGACCCGTATGATCCAAGCGGAGCATTTCGAGCTCGTGATTGATACCTTGAAGCGGGGCTTAGTTGTCAAGGGTGCGCTGGCCCGCCTGAACCTCTTCCTGGATGACTCGGGGATGCTTCGCGTGGGCGGACGTTTGAAAAATTCTCAACTGCCGTACGAGGCTCGACACCCTCTACTGTTCCCCAAGGACGGCGCCTTTGTTCGGTTGCTGGTAACTCACTACCATGTTCAGAATGCCCACGCTGGGTGCAACGCTCTTTCGGCCATTTTGCAGCGGGAGTTTTGGATTTTGGCGGGTCGACGCACCATTCGGAGCGTCATCTTTAAGTGCATATCTTGTTATAAGTTGAAGGCCCCCATATCACAGCCGATGATGGGCGACTTACCACCCGACCGCGTCAGGGCCATCCGACCATTCGCGGGAGTCGGAACTGACTTCGCTGGCCCCTTCCTCGTCAAGTCCTCTAACCTTCGTAACGCGCGTGCTCGTAAGACCTATCTGTGCGTTTTCGTGTGCCTCTCCACTAAGGCTGTTCACTTAGAACTTGTAAGTGCCCTTAGCACGGAGGCTTTTTTGTCCACACTGGGTCGCTTCGTATCGCGTCGCGGTTTACCGGACCTGATCCGGTCGGATTGCGGAACGAATTATAAGGGTACTGATAGGTATTTGAAGGAGGTCGTTGAATTTCTGTCTAGCAACAGGACCTATTTAACTACTGCGATGTCCAAGAAGGGCATCCAGTGGAAATTCGACCCTCCGGCTTGCCCACACTGGGGCGGTATTTTTGAGGCGGTGGTGAAGGTTGCAAAGACGCATCTCCGTCGCGTTATTGGCGAAACTATTTTGACATTTGAAGAGCTTGCCACTGTATTCTGTAAAATTGAAGCAGTCCTCAACTCTCGGCCCCTCTGTCCTCTCTCGTCCGATCCGAATGATTTAGAGGTTCTAACCCCGGGCCACTTCCTGATAGGCCAGCCGCTTAACGCCCTGCCCGAGTACCCCTTCCGGGAAATAATCTCTTCGCGGTTGAGCAGATTTGACATGCTGCAACAAATAACTCAGAGTTTTTGGCACCGATGGTCTCTGGAGTACCTACATCTTTTGCAGCAGCGCGTTAAGTGGACTGACAAGACGGACCCCCCTCGGGTTGGAGACCTCGTGTTAGTTAAAGAACCTAACGCCTCGCCCTTGTATTGGCGCCGTGGGCGCATTGTCAAGTTGTCGTATGGACCGGATGGGATCCCTAGGGTGGCCGAGGTTTTGGTTGGAGATTCGGTTTTGCAACGTGCCGTCTCTACCCTATCCCGCTTGCCAATTTACTCGCGGACCTAGATCCTCATGTCCGGGACGGGGGCTTGTTTAGGCCTAATTTAACGTTTGGCGGCCTGCGTCGGCGCTCGGGTCGAGCGGGAGGCGAGCCTGACGGCTGAGGCGCGGGGGTCGCGGGCTGGTGCGGCGTCCGGCCGCGCCGGCGTCGGCGTTTTGCGGGTCACTTGCCGCAGAGCTTGGAACTGAGTAGTTGCGCGTCGTGTTAATAGCTTAGTCGCCCGCTGCCTCTGACGCCTATACTTCGCGAACCTGAGTTCTGAGTAGTTGCGCGTCGTGTTAATAGCTGAGTCGCCCGCTGCCTCTGACGCCTATACTTCGCGAACCTGAGTTGTTTGCAACGCGGCCCGGTGATATTGCATTTTCACAAATGTCGAGTTTGTTGTAACGCGCGTTCGGTTAAATCTTGTTGGAATTTATTGGACTAACCTAATGATAATTGACTTGACTCCAATTAACAAGTGAGAAACGAGTATAATTTCCGAGACTCTTAAATTTTTGTGACGGACTGCCACTTCGATATAAAGAATAGAGGTGAAGCCTTGGGATCGGCGGTTCTGCAACCAGCGGGAAGTCAGGTTACATAATATAACACAACACAACACAATACAGCACGCACACACTTACACCTGAATCTTCCTAGGGTTGACCCTACTTCGAAGGAATAGGTAAGTTTTGTTTGGTTCCCTTTTTACCGCTAACGTGTAATATTCCACAAGCCATTTAGGCCGACCTCCTGTTACTCGTCGAGTGGAACCCCTAATGGGCCCGGGTCCCACGACCTTGCCCGGGTAACTAGAGGCCGTAACATTTGGATTTTTTTTCTATCGAGAAAATTTTACGAAATCGTGTTTTCGTCTAACATAATCATTAACATTAATCCTCAACTTTACCATATATTTATTTCAAAATTAATGCTGCAATATTTTCGGCATAACGAAGGATCTTGCTAAGCCATTAACTAGTCTACTAATAAACTAATACTGCTACAGTGGCAAATTAGGGTGTGACTTGCACACGGATCGAATATTTACATACCCATGTTTTCATTACTTCTAAATTACAAAATTGCTATTGGAGCCGTGCGTGGGAATGCAAGGAGATTCTTACCACTAGATTCCTATAAGACATCTAAGTCGAACTAAAGCTAACTCACCCAATTCTCCGGCCGCTTTGACATCTATATTGTCCACGCCGGAACCTATGCGCACTATGATCCTCAATGCTTTGAACTTCTCGAGGTCTTCCTTGGTGAGGATGATGGTGTGCCACATCAGAGCCCCTACAGCCTCGTTCAGCACCTTCTCGTGTATCTCCGACGTGGACTGGGCGTCGCAAAACGCAACTGTCGCTACATCCTTCAGTATTGGCATCTCGACGGTGCAATCGCGACCGTCTAATAACGCCACTAGGGGCCTGAAATTTAAATAACATCGATATTAAACAACTGCTTAGGGCTAGAAGTATTAACATAATATAACAAGACAAACACTTTGAAAAGGTATACGTCTGTATAATTTGTAATATTTGTTTCACGTTTTGTTTTCTTTGCGAAATCAAGATAAAGTTAAATATGAAAATATAAGGTCACTACCACACATTACTAAGTCACGGGTGCTTAAGCCAAAGATAATAGTACTTCATCTCATTATACTAACTTGTGTCACATTAGCATCTGATAAATTTTTTGTAAATGTACATGCAGATATCTGCAACATTTCTACTTTTATTAATTAATGATGGCACCCGGTATACGTTGTTATTTATACAATCTAGACTTGACTACCTCGTTAGTCTAGCGGTCTTAAGCGTGACTGCAGATCATGTATTCCCGGCTTTATCATCCAGATGGGGCAAAAATTAGTTATTGGGTATTTCTGTCAATAAATTCTCCCAGCCTAATGCGTACAAACTTGCGGACTATAATCCTGTCCCGCGCAGATGGCAAATCTCCGTTGAGACGGTCACCGTATCGGAAATAAAAGTTCCAAATTCCACTTTTCAGTAATCATTATTAAAAGAATCATGTCTGTATTTTTCCACGGATGGACATGAATTTGTCACAATTAGAGTTATTCTTTACTATCTCAGTGAAGCCAGTAATATCTTAGTTTCCTATTAGCTTTGAATGGAATTTAATCCAGGACTCTGTAACTCTACACTGATTACTATGCCACGTGGTATACTATATACGTACATATACGCTGAACTAAACGGCCGTCAATTTAAGTGACACAAGCAGATATTATCGAAGCCCTGGAAAATAATGGCGTCGGAGCACGTAAGCCGATTGAGTAACGGTTTTAACAATAATGGACGTTTTATTTTCTAAAATCATTGCGATAAGTACTTTACCATGGTTAAAGCGCCTTTCGATGAATTAGATCAAATACATTTTTCAAATTTTTGTCAGGTTTACTTTAATTTTAATATCACGTCATCATCATCATCAAAATAAGATTATTATTCCTAAATTAATTAATAAACTACCTAAAACCTTGAAGGAAAATATCAATCCCAAAAATATTAAATACAAATTAAAAACATACTTTTTGAATCAACTAACATGATATAACTAAAAACTAACATACTTACTATATGTAATATAATTACCATATGTATATTCCTAAAATATAAAATAATATTTTCTCCAAACATCCTGTATACTACTCTAACTAAATAGCCACTACAACTCATCCTCATGTTATTTGTATAGAAATGAGCGAACTACCTTCTTACTCTAAATAATATTAAAATGTTTGAGCTCGAAAGACGGCGAACTGCAGTGTGCAGAAAAATCTTATATAGGTTTATGTTGCACTGTATTTATGAACTTTGTTTAGTATGTATTTTAGTTGTTGTAAAAATAAAAATAAAAAATAAAATAAAAAAAACATCCAATGATGTTTTTTTTAAATAATGGTAACAATTGAGAACACAGTCCATCTGATGATAAGTGGGTGCTGTGACCATAGACATCTACATGTACCCTCGATTAAAAATCAAAATCCAGATTTATTGTCACCCCAGAGTACTAATATCAAATGCCTCGTTTCCAGTAAAAAGGGTCTCCAGTTCTCTACACTTACGATACGAAACACAGCAGCATTATAAGCTGCTAATTTACGCTGGTATTCTATTCTGTAAGAGCGTGGTCCTACCCCGGTAGAGTCGACCCATTTGTGTTAAAACAGCTGCAGCGTGACACTACCACGTATAAAAAGTTACATACCGTATTCCCATACTAGTTTACGTGGTAAACCTATATATAACCATGGAACTAAAAACTCGGTTCGAACCTTTTATGAAATCTGTTAAAAAAGATGTACACGCAGATACTGAGGCACCAACTCAGCTTTCAAGTGCCTGATATAACAGCATTTATTTGACAAAATTAAAGGTAGACCAAATAGTATTCCATGAGGCATCTGGGGTTGTGCTGTGAATATCCTCTCACAACATTACCCCGATTAGAAACTAAGTTTATTTTTTGTACAAATTAATGCTCCAGTCTTGAATGGAGTTTAAATCTGCGACGTTGTAATCTGGTAATCATAACAATTAGGGCCACCACCTGGTCTTTAGATTGCTGAAGCATGTAGATGTGCTCAATAATGTTGCTATATTGAATTGTTTTTTTTTTTAATTACTGGAATGTTAACGTTGCAAATAATGACTCTTTAAGGACACAAAGACAACATGCAGTCACGTAAAAATGTAATTGATTTAAGAATCTCAACATTATTATTTATGATTTAAAAACCTCAAAACAGCGACTGAATTCATTTATTTAATGAAATGTATATTTATCATTGCAAAATTAGGGCATTTAAACTCGCTCAAATTGAACACGGACTGCACTCGCATATGCTCATGCAAATGAGCGGATAGCAGCAATCTGAATACAAAGAAGTGACATTAACATTTTACAATAACCACAGTTGAGGATATTCTAGTTGTAGGTTGATACAAAAAAATTGCACTGAACTATGCTAAATAGCACCGATAGACAATACTGGCCTCAGTTTAATGGTAGGTGCACATCGAGCTTATCAAGTCGAACATTGATTTAATATAAACTAGTGGGCAGCGCAGCGTTCGTTAATCGAAAACAACACGTCATTTATGGTATAAGAACAATACCACAGTTGGGCGCCGCGCCGGCACGGCATAGCGCAGGTCGTGGGCAATGAGTGTCATGCAGGTTTTCAACAAGGTATGAGTGGTCTAAAGTAGACAATGCTCGGCACGGTTAGCGCCCTAAATACTTTTATAATTTTTATTTAAAAAAAAAGTCTTTCTCTCATTTGCTTTATGTTCGGTTTACATTAATCTTAAGTCTTAGTCATTCGGAGAGTACATAACAACACTCGCCTGCAGTGCTCGAAACAAAAAACAAAACGTTTTTATATCAGATAGAAATACGAGAGTCATCGTAAAGTGAGCCATTAGTCTACAGAAAAAATTTGGGGATACATTCGAACAATTAGAAACGTGTAAACGGTACCTTTTGATGACTAAGTAACTCATTTTGGTACGATTCTTAATACGTTTCTCACCTTCCCACTAAAATAAAATAGAATAGCTTCTCATTTTTGTATCTATTGAAGTCGGAGCCGTAGTAACTCCCGTTGAGTTAGTAAGTAGCTTGGTTCTCGTCGTAAATACCTACTCGAACAACCCGGGCTCGATTCCCTCTGAGAAATTATAAATATTTCGTAAATATGTGAAGTCTGCATTTGAGTTAGAGCAGTGCGGTAGACACTTCCTAAAATCTCAGAAACGAGAGGTCCGTGCCCAGGAGTAGGCCGATTAAAGACTAACTGTATTTTCTAATTTTTATGACACTAATGCACTCGCATTCTATTATGTAAACCGGTCATTAATTTGATTTCAGTTGACGGCAAGTTTTTACAATGATAACTACTTACACTGTTAAAGTGATTCCCTGAGACCGGAATAAGGCCGTTAGGCCGCCATTACATACTAAACGTTGCAAAATAAAACCGTTTTCCCACATAAAACCTAATTAAAAACAAATAAGCAGTGAGTAATATAAAAAATGAAAAATAAAATACCTAAAATATGAAAAGCAATTCAATTTCAGTAAAACTTAAATCTTCTACGGAGTTATGTGGTACACATAAAAAGGCTAAATTATAGCCATTCAATTTAATTCAATGTTGCTGTAATTAAAAAACGGAATGAATTCATTTCAAAATTGGCGCAAGGTAATGGGTCCTTTTAAAAACGGTACGAGTACAACGTTTGGACGTTTAATCGCTTAATTAATCATAATAATTACAACCTACAAAATGAAAGCACTGAAAAATTATTCCGTAATAATTTTACTCCCCTGTCAATTTAGTGTCGTCATTTACGCGGTATATTTATAAAAAAATATGCTTTTATTTTAGTAATTTACTTTAATAAAATGTGCGAATGTTTCGGTAAAGTATGCACTTTATAGATTGCGAGTCTATCGTAGCGTAAAAGCAAGCAATATTATGTTAATACTTTAATCTACTAGTCAACAAACATGGGGTGAGTGTGACAAACCTCGTCGTAATGAAATGGCATTGGAAATATTATAACAAATACGTAAGCGTTAGCGTATTCGCACAGACACGAACCGGCACCGGCACCATTGTTGACAAGAACGTTCTTTATGTGAACATGGCGTCGTATGTTTACGTCTGCAGCATACTGGGCTGCACTAAAAGTATCGGGAATGGAATATTTCCACTGTTCCTGTCATATTAAAATCTTTTTATTTGAAAACTCCTTGGTTTTAAAAATCGAATACCATTTATTTATTTAAAAAAGATTCTCGGTCTTGTCACAAGGTTTTGTCAAACTTGTTTAGTCGTTGAAAAAATGGAATTGACTCGAGAAAATTCAAGAGCGATGATTTATTATGACTTTCGAAGTGGTTTAACACAAAACCAATGTGTTGACCGGATGATTTCTGCATTTGGTGATGAAGCCCCATCCAAAACCACAATTTATCGCTGGTATGCCGAATTTCAACGTGGACGTTTCAAGCTCAGTGATGATCCCCGTAAGGTCGTCCAAAAACTGCAGTCACCCAAGAAGACGTTGATGCTGTGCGTTGAAGCTGATTGAGAAAGATCGACATGTGACATACCGCGAAATTCAGGCAACTTTAGACATTGGCATGAGTCAAATACGAATAACCTTGCATAAACAATTAGGTGTAAAAAAGTTGTTTTCCCGATGGATACCGCATTCGCTCTGTGAAGAGCAAAAAGCGGCTCGTGTTACTTGGTGCGTCAGAACTCTCGAAAGATTCCACGCAGCATCCTCAAATACTGTATACAACATCGTATCAGGTGACGAATCCTGGATATACGCGTACGAACCCGAAACAAAAAACCAATCACGAGTTTGGGTGT